TCCCTTTTGCAGTTGCTTAATTTGCCTTATTAATGCTAATCTCTAAAGGTACCTTGAAGATATAAACCGGTGCGAGGTCTATTGACATTCCAGACAATTTATTAAAAGCATTTATTTTTTAAATAATATAGTTATCCTTGTTCGATAATAATTATCTTGAAAGAGATTCAAGTAAATACAATAACAATAATATACAATAAATATTTACAATAAATACAATAAAATTTTAGGAGAACTAAGTATTGTTTCATTAAAAACAGTTAGATTTCTAGCATGAATGAAGTAACCTAGGTTTTTAAATTGTATGTAACAAAGATATTATATAATGAAAACAGACAATAATCACTATAACTTTGATGCTTACTAATGTACATAAATAAAACAAAAAGATCGAGGAGGCTGTATTGTGAACGAAGCCGCAGTCGAGAACGTGAAACATTTTATGTGTACTGCAGAACGTGTATTGATATTAGGATATAGAAATGATGTTTAAAATGCTTTTAAAACATTTTTCACGCAATCAAAACATGCTAAACATTATAAAGCTAGTGAGCAGCAATTATCGTGTATTGTATTATTTTACCAATAGTGGGTAAAGGGAGTAGAGATGGGACGGTATTGAAAACTCAGCCAGCAGGTTTTGTTCCCTCTTTGCCTCGTCTTTACTCGCACTGGGTGGACTGGGTGGACGAAGCGTGACAATAACGCCAACTCCAATTATAGAACACGCGTGGACGAGTAACTGCTTCTTTTCTTTATACAGTGGTATCAAAGTATGGTTCGCAGGTAGTACGGTACAACGTTATAACTGGTATCTACAAATAATCGTATGTTTTGATAAATGCGAGTACATGCTACTTCAGTAAACAATCCCCCTGTAGATAAAAATGATTAATTACCACATAAAAGACGATGGTCGAGTTTTAGAATTCTTCTTTCTTTATCTTTTTGTGGCTGAGGGCACAACGTTGAATGTAACACAGGAGTAGAATCTTTACCTTTTACAAAAATAATTGCACACTTTTAACACCCTGAACTCTTGCTCATTGCCGTTCTCAGTTCGATGAACTGGGATCATGGCTCGTAACAGGATCAATCTGTCGCTGGGAACCAATTATTTCTGTCATGATGATGTTGTATGCTGTATATTATAGAAAAGACTGATGGTGTCCGATGAAGCAAACTGTTCTTCGATGGAAGAGGTCGATGGAAGAAAAGGGTTGGGAATCTCTAATTTGTACCCACTATTAAACGCTCTGCCCAACTCGGCTTTTTGAAGTTCTCGCGAAACTAAATTTATCTTCAATTACGACATGTTTGCAGCGCTAACGGCAGCTTCTACGCTCGCGATAATGCGTAATCGAGTAATGGCTTATTTCATTTATAAAATGACGCCACAATATGGTCCGCAGGTAATACGGTGGCAATGACGTAAGCAGTAAAACATATTTTCAAGGAGTTTTAAAAAATTACCGTCACCCGTTAACCGATTTTAAAGGCGCTTTGTCTGAAAAATCTGCTTTGCAGACTATTGTCTTTTGCAGTGCCTCGTCATTCGCCTGGATGTGCTTTCGAATCACGGCGTCTCACAATGTCACTTTTGCCTCCTTCGCCTTCAACTAGGCTGCGTCGTTTGTGTTTAGCCGGCCGTGTCCAAGAGTTCGCCGTTTCCGGTTTCGGTTAACGGTTGGGTTCCGGTTCGATGGCGTGTCGCCTCGGCAGAGCAGCGGACACCGCTCGTGCCCTCACCTCCGCCTGCTCTTGCGGCCTGCACCGCCGCACACACAAGCGCCACGCCGCGCCACACACCACGCCGCGCCACGCCGCGGCCACGCCGCGCCACGCCGCACCGCACCGCGCCGGCCGATCGCGTCCCGCTACTCGCGGCCCGATCGGCGGCGGCGACGGCGGCGACGGCGGCGACGCGGCGGCGCGCGGCGGCGGCGGCGGCGGTGGGGCGGCGGCGGCGGCGGGCGACCTTATTCGCCGCTACCTCTGGTGACCGCCTCTCGCGCCAAGACTCCACCGCCGCCGCCGCCGCCCGACCGTCTCTCAGGAAACCCGTTGCGGATACGAGTGCGGGAAGAGCAAACACGGCTGGGAAAGGAGAACCGCTTACTCGCCCGCACTCGCACTGTATGCTTTTCAATTCCAGAAGTCTCGATACCAAGGGTGCCCCAAATTGTCGAAAAGGGGTAGCAAGGGAATCGATCATCGGCGTCAGATCTGGTGGCTGGTATTTCAAGGGGGAGCTTGAAAATTTGATTGACTTCTTGGAAATATTCGAAGAAGAATGGTACAATTGATCGTGTTTTATGTCCATACGTCGCTATGATAATCATGCTGACTCGCTTACACTGCCCTCTCGTGAGGAGGTTAGAGAGGAAAGAATTGTCTTCTTGAAGATTTGTTTCAGTGTGATACCAGTAGAAAATCGAAGACTGGCAATAAAAATTACACACATCTTTTTTCAAATACTACAACTAATTTAATAATGGTTATTGAAAAAACCATCGATGACAAATTTGAATACATAGAAGAAATTGTATGTAACTTCGTGTGGGTTATTAGAACTTACACATCAGAACTACATTTTCTCCTGGAACGTTTGCGGTATCAAGAATTAGTGCTTGATAGATAGCATTAGAAAAAGTGCGTTGTATTGATGAAGGACATACGAAGGAGAAAGGATAACAAACTATTCCAACCTTGAAAGTAAGTCAGGAGTATGAAGAATGCACCTACTGCCATTCTCCCTGCATAAGAAATGCAAAAACACGTGCAGCAACAAGGGCAGTCCCGCGTTATATTTATATTAATAGTTAATATTAATTCATTGTTATTACCAATAATAATATTAATTACAATTTTTTGAAATGGCGAAAACGCAACCGAAACGATTTATTGGAAAATGTCACTATACTCGCCTAATATATTCCGTGATCTTTCAAACAGCTGTTGCAACTCGTTGGCCGTTTTCTCGCCGTCCTCGTGGCGGTGTAGCCTTGCTGTCATGACGTCACGAACATCAGAAATGCCTCTGGTTACGAAATTTCTTATGAGGTTCTCATGTTAATTGTGTCACCACTTTCTTAGAGGACATGCATGCAGAGGTAGGCATTATTGAATCGTACACGTATGCCACCAAGTTCTAATGATAAGAATCTTCACTACTTTGTTTCTTAAGTGTGAGAAAACAGAAAACACGCAATCAAAATTACGTGTAGCACGAATGCAATGACAGATGGACTTGTACAAGAAATTAATTGCAAAACTGATTCTTAAATGCATTTTTTGGAACTAATAAATAAAATGGGATTTTATATATATATTATTTCAAAATTATATTCTTTATTATACATATCCGACCACGTTCATAAATTTAATTGTGTATAAGATAAGTTCAGAATAATTACGAACATTATGTCATGAGAGCTAATCGATCAAGAACCGTTACCTTACCCAATAGAGCAGTCAAGTCAATCTATCTTCATCTCAGTTTTCAACTCTCTTCAACTCACTTCGCTCCACCTTACATCATCTCACCTTTCCTCATTTCTCCTGACCTCTCCTCTGTCATATTATTGAAACAGCAATGCACTGCCTCCATAGGATTAGATGCCCTTCTGTGGAGGGTAAAGGCAGAAAATGATCCATCTTGAATCGCAAGAGCGTGATCCACACACATGTCATTTACGAACTGAAAATATTATTACATCATAAGAGTGTCATTATTCTGTGATGAAATGAAGCAAAAATAATTATTTCTCCGCACACTTAGACCAATTGACATAGACGTGCATAGCCTAAAGTAGGAGGGGGTTCAACTTCACTACTGGGATCCTCTTGATCCCTTTCCATTAAAAATTTTTATTCGTATATATAACATAGGTAATTTTCTAGAAAATAAACAAAATATGAAGATTAAATCATACGTTGAATGGAAAAAATACAATGGATTTTATGAAGAACCATTTGCATGGTTGACAGATGGTTAGAGTGTTTCTTTCTCAAATGTCTTTATCAATTCCCCCTATGAATAATAAGAAAAAAGAGGAAAATCATGAAATTATCATATTTATGAAATATTGTTTACTACATACGTCTATGGGGCCCTTTTGGAATTTTCAGAGGTTCCTCGGACCTGTGCCTCCCCTGCTATGCCTATAGTAATAGATATTTGTTTGAAGTAATATGATTTTCAAGCTGACATCTCATGAACTGGGGGAAGTTGTCAGATTTAAATATTTTGTTTGGACTTTTGTTACTGAACCGTTTTTTCCTCTACACCCAGGTTTTCCAATGTTTTGGTTCACGTCATACCTTTTCATCATGGGGTACTCTGCGGCTCATCCGTGGAATACAATCAACCTGTTGACACTAGGATATCAAAAGCAACTTCACAAGTTTTAGGACACTGTTTGAATTGATCGGTTGATAGTCAATCATGAAGTCTGCAGACTCGACGAATAACATCATTAAAACATTTAATAAATACACTATGACTTTCTTGTGTTCAGATTTTCCCTATTTCATCAGACGTTCGCGGAACACTACGTACTTTCGCTAAACCCCCCTATTCCATGGCACACACACCGAGAAGCGCTAAGCGTCGGTGTCAGAGGAACGAATCCTTTCGTGACACAACTGACACGAACAATAACTAAAGGATAACTTTTTCAGAATGACACTAAGTTATTAAATTTCTTAGTTAATTTTCTTTCTTATGTCAAAATAATTACACGCATATAACTCTCAAGTATCATTGTTCTGCTCTTAAATACAAAATTGCGTAATAAACATTCCGATCATATGCATTGCTGTCGTAATTTTAAGGTTTCTAACCTTTATTGTTTGGAAGGGGGCGTAGGCACACGAGTTTCTACAGAGCAATAAGAAATTCCAGGAAGTACTTATGAAAATGCCTGAAGCACCTTTTGCTTCGTTATTAGTTAGGGAGCCCCGGAGGGAACCGGCAGGAAACCGCGGTGGCTTCGTTGATGAAGGTCCCGCAGTGCGCGAAGCGGTCGCTTGTAAATCAAGGGACCGCCGCCTCTTCCCTGCCCACCGCCGCCACCGCCACTACCACCACCACCACCACCACAGCCACCGCCATCGCCATCGCCCCTACCCACCGTCTCCACCGCTGCTGCCACTTCCCACCGCCACCGCTACCGCCGTTCTTGTCCACCGCCGCCGTCGTTCCTGCCCACCGCCGCCGCCGACACCGCCCCTGCCCACCGCCACCACTGCCCACCGTCGCCGCTGCCGCCGCCGCCGCCGCCTCTGCCCACCGCCGCCGTGGCCGTCGCCGTCGCCACCGGCGTCGCCGCGGGCTGCGGGGTCGCGGGGTCGCGGAGAGGGCAGTGGCGGCGGCGGTGTTAGTGGTGCTCGCCTCGCTCGCGTGTTCAGTGGCAGTCGCGGCCAAAGGGCGTCTGGCGGCGGCGGCGCAGGTAGTCGCACTCCGTGGCAGAAGGTGGCTGTTGCTGTTGTTACCTAATGCCTGGGGAGGGGGGGTCATTCACTAACTTTGATTCCCAGCTTTACTTAGTTCATTATCCACGTAAATATTGTGCATGTTATATGACAGAATGAGGCTGTCTTCCTCCACTGTCGGAACGTCGGACGATATCTGGCGCCGACTTCCACGTTGGTCTACAGGATTTCCTCCTCTTGATTTCTCCCCCAGACAAGTATTGCTCGAGACGGAATAAGTTCTAAGCCTTTGACTGGTCTCCCACATGTGTGGAATAGTGTGCGTGGGAGAGTGTATGTTCGCCTGTGTAAAAGGGGAAATGAAGAAGATGAGGAAAGAAATATCGCGCATGGTCCGTGGCATTTTGGTTAAGGTAATGCTCTTGTGTATGCCTGATATTTATTGGATCAACCAGAGAAAACTACCTATCAGAACCGCCAGAATTATTTTCCATATATTGGTTGAATTGAACAGCTAAATACCTAGTCCTCAAAATATGCTCTTCAGGATTCAAACCCTGAACTTCTGGTCAATGATTATAGAGCCAAAGTTCTAATACTCAGGTTCTAAAAATTTATCCACTGACCATCGTCGACACGGGCTACATTGTTGGGTCTTTGCAGGTTTGTCACCTCATGAGTACGCAAAATTATGAACTGTTTCTTGTTGTCCGTGTTCTCCACCGGAACCTCTTGTTGTCCGAGGACCGATGCATCGACGGTCTTAGTGATATTTATCTGTTACTAGTGCCGTATCGTGGCTGAGCGCATTAGACGCGGTTAGATTTAATTTTGCTGCGCTATAAATAAGCGTGGTTTTATATGCCACAACCATGATACGGTACCTTGACGATTTTATGCGTCAATTCAAGGGGAATGGTATAAAACTGCGAATCTAACAGTAGCGTAGCCAAAAGGTGCTCAGGACGCAAGGGGGGGTGAGAGGTAATTTATAAAGTACTCACGCAGGGTATTCTATTATGATTCATTAGTTCTAACAATGAAGTAAAATTCTCCAATACTTCGTTTTAATAAGTTGATAATGGGTTTAATTAAAATGTTCCAGGTATATTCGATTATATTTTCCATTTCTTGATTCTCTTTCATTCATCGCAACACGTTCGTCTCAATGAACCATTTTACTGACATAGTCTAGCACATGTTTAGACCCACGCCAAATGTTGTTCATCGCACACGCAGGGGCCAAAACACTCAGAGCGGCTGCAGCTGAAACTCTTAGATCAAAACGTCCTAGACTGGCCACTCGATGTCATGCATACGCATGACAGGCCGCGACTGCCACAGCTATGGTTGCTATAACTTACATATGTGCACATTTTTCTTGACTATCTTACATAGCTTTCAAGGTTTTTAAATATTTAACAGTAGGGATGGGATTCTTATGTAATTGCAAATATATGTCTTTCTGTCTTCAGTTCTCAGAATTGTTCTCCTAACGGATCAGAGAAATCCTAATAGAATTGCCATTTTTCTTTACATATTTTTACATATAGTGTACCGTGTTACAGATTTTACATATTTCGCATATACAAATATTTTTACACTGCATGTTTGTGGTGTGTGAACGTTGAGGCACATTACCTCTAGGTGTGTAATGTATCAGCGGTATGTTTCATTACTGAAACCAATTTACGAGAGATATTGGTTGTTGCAGTCGTAAAACATTACGATGATAATGCTATAGTGATTGTTTGCCGGTCACTGAGTTACTATGCTTGTAAAATGGCTGAGTTAAGCTTTAAAAATCAATACTCTCGAACATAAAATTGATGTATTAAATATTTTGTTAATGTAACTTCAAATTGTGTAAATTTATTTTGTTTCGTCAAAAATCTTTCATAAATAAGAGTTTATTTCCATATCACAAATTATTTCCCTTTTAGTATATTTGCTACATATTATCATTTTCATATATATTTATGTACGTACTTTGCCGTTTCATTCCACATATTTTTCCGGACTCTATTTACGAGCATAGTAGAGAATGCATGGCCGCTAGCACAGTCGTTAGCGAGCGTGAGAAAGAAGTCTGAAGAACACCATGGCGTACATCGATCTGAAGAGATGTACCTCAAAGTACTACTTGTTTTGTTCCGTATTTCCGAGTACAGGGAATAAATAGGAAATCCTCGAATTAGGATAACTTGAATTCTAACGTTTGAGTTATACATATTTTTGTATAATTTCTACCAAAAAGTTCCATTAAGATTATTTGAGTTGAAGTGTATGAATAACAAAACTTCAGAGGGTGCAATGCTGCTTTTTTGGGAAACAGACAAATTTTGATGTATTGTATTTAATTTTGTACATTATTTATTATTATTTATTTCTACTAATTTCAATTGTGTAAATTTCATGATTTAACTATGTAAATATATTTATTTTTATTGTTTTTTGAGGTAAGAATAGTTTGCTCGAGATAAGATTTATAAAAGTCGCGTGGAAATAATACATTAAAAAAATAATTAAGATCTGAACGATGTTGTATTCACTGTATCGAAAAATGTAGGAAAATAACGAAAGAAAAACTCATGAATATGAATTTACATCGCCTCGAGTTTTCATGACAAAACAACATTCAAATGCTCAGTTCCCATTAAACTGAGTATTGTTCCTCCCCGATATATATTATTATAGCAAATGTTCAATTAGATATATTATTTAGTTTAAACTCTAAAATACATGTTTTTACCTTCTCATCTGTAATATTTTACTTAAAAAAGTCACAATTAGGATAAGGATCTAGTACTATCTAGTATGTATCTGGCTCATATCTAACCTAACTTGTAAACAGGGATGGCGAAAGCATGTAAGTCATGAAATTTCTCAAATATGGAAGGTTACAATTTATATTTTCTGTTTTAAAGTTGTAACTTTATTATCCGATCTCTATGGGAAGTTATTGTCCGGGCAAGCGCTTTCTTTTTCATTTTCTTACAATTTTATGGTGAGATCGTTCACTTCGTTTACGAGTGTCTCCCCAAGTTTCTAGTTGGGACCTGATCACACTTATAGGGGGAGAGGATATTGCCCCCCACCCCGCACCCCACCCTCAGCCAATTACTTCCTACTTCCTGTTTGTGCTTGTGAAAACGTCCACCAGGGGGCACCGCCCCAGCTGTGGATAAACTCTTATCTCCTAACTGATCTCTCGATATGTGGGGTTATATAGTGCCTTGTATGCGTACGTGTGTGTAATTAAGGGGTGACTAGGAAAAGAAAGGAGAAGGAAAGATCGCGAGGCGGTCCGTGACCCCTTTGTGAGGGTACTGCTCCGGCATTCGCCTGTTGTTGATCGGAAAAATCAGAGCAGCCAGTCGCTAGAATTCTCCCCATACAGGAGCTGGATTCGACATAACTATCTGGCTCGCCGCGGAAATCCTGCCTCCGTTGGGACTTGAACCGTAGGCCATCCCGGTCTGCAGTGACATCAGTTACTGCCCCGGGCCACCCAAACCGGTTGCGCTCTCGAGGCGCTGACGACAAGAGTACCGCTGAGAAGAGATAGCATTTAGTTATCTTTATTATTCAGTCGTAGAAGTAAATTGGTTATTAGTTACACTAAAACCACGCTAGCACGTACTCCCTGAACACGAAATTCGCCGTTTACGAGCAGTATGCGAATCCTGGAAAGGAAACATAGTTTTACAAATATACAATAATGGAAGTTGTGTTAACGAGAATTTTCTGCACTTATTTCCAAGAGGGTAAAAGAGAACATTATGTGCAAGTCAGTTAATTTATTCTTGCACGCGGTAGCGCGATGGTATTATATTTAATTTGGCTTAACGCTTATTACTTCAGATATAATAATGATACATTTTATCTACTCTGAACATGATCGCCGTAAGGGCAAGGCCGATTGGTAAGATGAAAATATTAATTTTCGAGATACTACTAAGCCGGCGATATGTTAAGCCTTGCAGACCTCGCGAAAAGAATATATTGAAAGGAGTTAATTAACAATGAAACGATGTTATATTAAGTGTAGGTAATAACCCTTTGTAACGGCAAGTTTGCTCCGACAAAATCGAAGAAAATTAATTCTTAGTGTGATGAGGTTCTATCTTACTTCTGCTACAAAACGAACTCATGCTGCAATCTCGGAAAAAGAGCTAGATATTGTAAAAATCAATAATTTGGATGAGGACAGATGAAACGTTGCCACCAATTTTTGCAGAATGACTGAAATATTAGTTGGAACGTAGTCATTCCAATGGGCCACAACGTGAAATCGTGTAGTGTGTTCAAAGTAAGGGAAATATATTGTCCTTCCTCGCAGACCTGTACTTCCTGCGAGAAATGATTTCCGCGTGTATTGTACTGTAAGTTATATAAAAATCATTACTGTAGATGGGGAGATATCTGAACAGTTGGAGAGAGCATATTTTGCCATAAATTTACTCGAAACGACTGAAATGTTAGTGGAAACCTTGTCATTCTAAAGGGTCGCATTGAAGGTTGGTTAGTGGGTTGGTTGTGAAGGATTGATTGATTGTTAGTGATTCCGGGCACGTCAACTACTGAGATATTATTATTATTATTATTATTATTATTATTATTATTATTATTATTATTATTGATTAGTTGCTCCCGTAAGTGTAGTGCGTGTTTTTTTCTTCGGAAGGTGGCGGTGATGTTCCCCCGCTAGATGGCGAGATCAGGCGCCGACCTATCGTCGGCTAGCGGGGTTTCCGCAACCATGTATCTCCCATCAGCGTGGCACCGTCCCAGCCAGGAGAAGCTCCAAGCTTCCGACCGGTCTCCCGACGTGTGTGGTAGTGTCGTGCATGTTAGTGTGTGTGTGAAAGGGGGTGAGAAAAGGCAGTTGGACAAAAGAAAGGAAATATCGCGTGCGGTCCGTGACCCGCTTCTTAGGGTACTGCTCCGGCATTCGCCTGGAGCTGATCGGAGAAGCAACGGAACGACCAATTAGAGCAGCCGGCCTCTAGAATTCTCTTCCAAATAGAATTCGTCCTAGCTGAATTCGTCCTACGATTCTCCTAGCTGAATTCGTCCTAGTTGGATTCGTCCTAGCTGAATTCGGCCTAGCTGGATTCGTCCTAGCTGATTCGTCCTAGCTGAATTCGTCCTACCTGTGAATTCGTACCTAAGCTGAATTCGTCCTAGCTGAATTCGTCCTAGCTGGATTCGCGCCTAGCTGGATTCGTCCTAGCTGAATTCGTCCTAGCTGGATTCGTCCGAGCTGAATTCGTCCTAGCTGGATCGCCCTAGCTGGATTCGTCCTAGCTGGATTCGTCCTAGCTGGATTCGTCCTAGCTGGATTCGTCCTAGCTGGATTCGTCCTGGCTGAATTCGTCCTAGCTGAATACTTGTCCTAGCTGGGATTCGTCCTAGCTGGATTCGTCCTGGCTGAATTCGTCCTAGCTGAATTCGTCCTAGCTGGATTCGTCCTAGCTGAATTCGTCCTAGCTGATTCGTCCTAGCTGAATTCGTCCTAGCTGATTCGTCCTAGCTAGATCGTCCTAGCTGGATTCGTCCTAGCTGGACTTCGTTCCTAGCTGGATTCGTTCCTAGCCTGAATTCGTCCTAGCTGAATTCGGCCTGTCTAGTTAGAGTCAAAACTCTGGCCACCAGCGGGACCTAGGACCCGCTGGCAGCCGTCAGAGGCACTGCCGTGCCATCGTTTGATGCGCCTGTCCCGGCGCTGACGAGTTCGCTTGCGTGCGTGTGCGCAGGGGCAGCGCGCGGCGCGGGGGCGTGGCGCTGGGCGACGCCGGCGCAGGAGGCCGAGGACGAGCGCCGCGACGCAGAGATCCTGCGCGCCGTCGTGCGCTCCATGGACGAGTGGGGACGGCGCGCCGCCGCGCGCCGCGCCGCCGCCGGCGCCAACGCCAACGCCACCGCCAACGCCACCCACGCGCCCCTCAGGTGAGTGCCGGAAGAAACGCTTTCCTCGAAAGTGCTTCTCCGCGTCTGGAAGGCGTTGGCTACTTCTTTGAAGCAGACGATGGTAATTAACCTAGCATTACTTTTTTGGATGCAGATTCTCATTTGCGTGTGTAAAATCCTGGATATTGCATTTTAAAGAACACACTTCCTTTCTTTACATTTAGCGATGTAGTAATGAGAATGAAAATCATATTTGTAAAAATTACTTTCAGTTAAAAGGTAATAATTACCCTAGATTACACATTAAATGTTGTACTATTATTTTTGCTTCAGAGCTTAGGTTTCAAGTTCACTATATTGAATTGTATGACACAATCTGCGAAGGCCATCGCGCAGCAAAAGAGTAAAATCGATTTTCTTGCAATATTAGATATCATCAGTCTTTTATTCTTAGAAAATTATATATAGTCATATACATTAATGTGTTGGTGTCTACATACAGCTGTTAATGGTCTTAGAACAAAACAAAAGGAAAATAAAAATGTTTAAAAATTATTTTATTTGACTCTGAATTTAACTGAGCTTTCTTTCATTTGAAATAATTACGTCCTTTGGAATATTGTGCTCGGGACCTAGCTTTTCTCGCTGAAGCTCTATTTAATTTCCTTGTTATGAATAAATATTTCCGGTATTACAGAACTGAACCTTTCAATAAAACCGATGGTAAATAAATGAAACGTATTGAAAATTACTTATTTAAAAAAAATCATATTATATTATCTCTGTCTGAAGTGATAAAGCATCGCGTTAGAGCTCGAAAGCTGCTGTGAAATCCAGGTAAAAGCGTGTGTTTTCTCCACCTTCGTTAATGTTAGAAATTATTTCCAGGTGCGTTCAACCTGTCAGAATTATCTACCAATTAATACGGTCGGGTGATCGTCTTAGCTGTCACTACCTCTCCACGTCTATTAAATGTCGTAATGACTCGTCAAAAATCATGAACATTTTCGAGGCCTGTTATCTTGCTGCAGGTTTGGAAAATGTCTCGCTTTAAATTACGTAATTCATAAAGCATTATCCTTACAAGTTTTAACGGACATACAAGTAATTTATAATATACTCGAAAACTCAACTTTTTATTTCATATTCTTATCACATTTTACAAGTAAGAGAATGTCTTTGTGCAACTTCTGTAACAGAAAGCCTGTTGAAAAATGTTTTGACAGCAATTACTGTTTTTACTTTTTCACATACTGCACACGTAATCTCGAGAAAAAATTGTATTGATGCAGAGAAAAGGGCGATTATTTAGTTATTTCAACGCAACTGTTGCTTGAAGCAACGGTCGTGAGTGAAGATCAAAGAAACAAACAATAAACCTTCTCAAATGTCCAATACCGTTTTAGCATTCAATAATGGACCGACATTACGGGCTTCAGAAAGTGCTCCAGAATATTCTTGCCTCACGATATGCTTTAGAATATGTTCGATGCTGCGTCGGTCTTGAGGGCTGAGAACAATATGACTCCTGTTGTGGAAGTCTGTTTCACTGATTCAGGTCATAATATTTTTTATTTGTTCCGCATAAAAATGTCCAGATGAAAACTCTCAGACACTTTTAGATCAACCTATCACACTGATTATTCTTGAGATTCCGTAGCTTCATGAGACAGACGATCCTCTTTAATCATCATCACTATTATCAACATGAAAGTAATGATATGGTTGAGATAGATCTGGGCTTCAGAAGCAGCAACTTGAACTACATTAGTTTTCTAATTGCGGTTCTTTCTTAATTAAATCAGGAACCAAAGAGACTGTCGGCATATTTCCACATGAATGACGCGGTTCTAGATTCATTCTTCATTTTTAAACCTTTTAAAAAATTATGAATAAATTATATAAAATTTCTCTTAAGTAAAAAAAGCAAAAACCATCTGCAATGTATATATTAAATATTTTTTGTACATTTTCATGCCATATTTCAGACATAAATTGATCAAACGAACGAAAATAAGTGTTCATATAAGAAAGTTTTACAGCGATTTCATTACATCCTTAGCTTTCTTTTCGAAGGCTAGTAATACTTTTACTATTATTGCTCATTCAAAAGAATTGCTTTAAAAAATCCACTATAAAAGTAAAAAAACATTCAAGAATAAAGTGTCAGTAAAGAAAATATTGGCATACCAGTAACCGAGGAGATCATTATCATAGGTAATACCCGGTGCTTCGGAAATAGTCGATAAATTCCCAACTCGCGAAGAGAGGAGAGGATTTATCTGAGAATTTTCAAAGCATGAGTGGTATTTAATAGAACTATTCCATGTGTGAAATTATGTCCAACAGAGTTCCAAAATGCACCAAATATTGAAAATAACAAAGTGTATGTTAAAATCAGAGGTTATGTTATAGTACATACGCCGTTTTATTGGAAATCGACATAGCAAGCAAAGAATACCACCCCCTAATTTAGATGAGTCACAGTTTATGATTGGCTAGTGGGTAATGCGGTAAAAAAACCGATAGATAAAGCGATAAATTTATTGAGATACACCGCCCTGATTGGGACATTTTGTACGTATAGTTAAACATTATTGATTTTAATTTCTCGAGTGCAATAGACCGCTAATGTTCTACGACAGTAATAATAAAAATCTAATAACCACATCTAATGAACTCATGATTGTTGCCACGGCTCTGCGTGGTAGGTTTGTGCCAATGTACGCCTCATAATCCATCCCGAAACGTTGGGAGATACCGAAAGCGGTGAACTCCCATTCTCCTCATTGCCTATTCGATTTTAAGGTTCAGAAAATCAGAATATCTGTGATTTCTGACGTGAACGTTTGCCTCATATTTAAACGAGCAGTTTTTCTAAATGTGATTATTTGTTGTAAAATACAACTCGTAGGGTTTCGTTGAAATTCAAATATTAAAAAGAACACTTTACCAAAACACAACACTTTCTTCAAAAGTGAAACTAGAAATAATCTAAGAAAAGTATTCGAATTTTGTAAGAATCATTTTTAAAGTAGTATAATTTTCTCTAAATTGCGAGAAACGCTGTTATTACAAAATGTCGAACACATTTTCTACTGAAGATACTATACGATGACAGTTTATTCCGTCTGTCAAAAATACACTATGTTTGGCCAAGTTTAAAAACGAATGCAAAGAGAGACCATTAATAAAATATGATTTATTTCATTTAAGCACAGCTTAAAAAAGCGTTGTCTTCACTCAGAATGCACTTGATTGCAGCCTTAGATCCGTGACTCCAATGGCCCTCAATCCGAACGATGTCGTGACTGAGATAGACCTACCGGCCTGAATTCGAAGTGTCACATTTGGCATGCAAACATTGTTCACGACGCACTTCAAACATTATCTCAGCATACACAGCACCATTTAGCGCGTTGTAGTATCATACTGTAAATGAAATAAATTATTCAATGTAGGTTTGATGTGCAGTTTCAGTCGTATTTGTTGACATGTTTTTCCCGCGAAAAAACTCCTACCGAAATATATGCTTTTCATGTCCACTCTGCATCTGTTCTGCAATTCGACATCGTAAAGCCATGCAGTGCCTGTTACACCAACAATGCGCAAAATCGATTTAGCGAACTACTATCCACTATTTCACTGTATTCACAAAGAATTGAATATCAACTAATCGAGGTTTTTCAAAATGTTTAACTCTGAAAAATAAGGCCTTTTTTTACGAAATATTTTGATGATGAACTGCTTATCATACGGTTGTTTTTATTACAATAATGTGGATACATTCTCTCGCTTTGAAATTAGACGTTGTAGTAATATCGTTATTGCATTTCTCCTCCAAAATCCTATATATAATGTGTAGAGGTACGAATCGAGAACACCTACAAATATGTCTGGTTGTGTCAGGTATCATTTTGAGTGATCAAACCATGAGAAAATAATTTAAAATTGTCTTGATCAAAGAGGTAACATTGGAAGTGTGTATTCTGTGAGTGACGAATACTGTTTATTTGATCTGCGGGCCGGGAATTGTTTCAAATACTGCCTACATCGCTGTACACATCTATTTTTGAAACTATTAGGGAAGTGTTTAGAATTTTGAGCTTAGAAGCCTGCTTTAAGGTGGCACTTGCATTAAATATTAAAATTACAACTTTCATTGTGTAATTCTTTTATCAGATGTTTGGAGCTCGTTGCTTAATGATATAATTATGATGCAGATTTATCATAGTACACGTGTTTGATAAATTACAGAAACGTTTACAAACCAAACATTGAGAGGTAATTAACTAATCATTCATTGGTCGTTTTAGTTGACGTTCGTCATCGTTTCAATCATCGTTTTAGTCATGCTGTTCGTCCGTAGCTACCCATGGTGAGGTTAGCTGTATTCTGCATGCCGGCTGCCGTAATGATTCAATGTAAAAGGTTTAACTACTAATGATTTTTGTTAACCGTACAACTCTGTACGAAACTCGATCTAATACGCATGAATACAGTTGTATAAATTTTACGACATGCACGATTGCATTCGAGTCGGAGCTCGGCATACACTACACATAACATTCCTGGAAAGAGAGGAGCACGGTTACGAGGAAAACAGGAAAACAGTTGAATGGTGCTACATTTTGTCTTATAAAGGGAATTTTGAGAGGGGAGAGGGGACTATGAAAAGGAAGTATGAGAAGGAAATATAAAAACACAAACCGAGTCAAGTTAACATCTAGTTAATTAGTAAATAAATCAATCTGAATAATTAAAATTAGGACAAAAACAAAATCTTATATGTACCATGGGTGCTATGTACTCTGGTTCTAATGATCGGGCGGCCCGAGATCATTAGAGCCCCCTTATAACTTCCTTTGGGCATAAATAATTGTTTCCATCACTAGGATGTGCAATTAGGAGCGCTAACTGTTAATGTATCAAAAATCACTTCTGTGCGTTTAGTTAGAGGTTAGAGATAGTTTTCACGAGAGATATACATTTTTCTGATATCGTTACCAGTGGTAATGTATACATCTTAGGCATTGCAAAGGTTCTAAAGATCCAGTAGCGACAAAAAAGCCAGAGGGTTTTTTATCGCCCGAAATTATTAGAACCTGTTAACGACCATGGTACATTTATTATTTTATTTTTACCTAATTTTATTGATTAAGGTTTACTTATTTATTAATTAACTGGATGTTAACTTGACTCGGTTTGTCTTTTCACATTTCTCTCCCAAAATTACCTCTCATAATTCCCTCCATAAGAAAACATGAAGCATCATTCAAACTGCAAAATTTCCTTAGTAACCACGAGCCTCTCGATCCAGTTAAGCAGTATATATCGAGCTTCGAATCGAAATCAATATGCAAGCAATAACATCTCCGTAAAAAATAAAAAAATTACATTCTAAGAATTGAAACAAATCATGCCAAAAAGAAGACAAGAATACCAAGATATGAATTGAGTCATCAAAATTATATAAAAAGGGGGGCGAAAAATACCCAATTTCAAAGAGCGCGTTGTTAACTTTCAGTGGATTTAATTTAACTCGGAATGGATTAAATTTTAATCCAAGAATTAGCATGTAAATAATACTTCTTAAAAAGGAAGTTTTGAAGTGTACTTTTCATGTATTATCCCTATATAAACTCATTAATTTCAAGCAATACTTCCCCATAATAATAATAATAATAATAATAATAATAATAATAATAATAATAATAATAAATATTAATAATAATTAATAATAATAGAGTTATTATATTTGTCAAAGGACAAATTAGCCAACGTTTGTGAAATGAGTGTGAATCATTTCTATGTGTTTTCCACCGATAACGCTCCCCAATTCACCTTGCATCCGTGAATGCCGAAGAGCCAATCGCGTGACTGAATTGTGCGCCTGGCGGTGCGGTGCTGCAGGCGGCGTGAACGCGCGGCGGGCGTGTGCTACCCGGAGGTGGGCTGCTTCAGCGACGCGGCGTCTTCGGCTACCTGGACATGCTGCCGTCGCCGCCCGAGGAGGTGGGCACGCGCGCTTCCAGGTGTTCGCCAGCGGCGGCGGCGGCGGCGCGGAGCGAGGGGAGGGCGAGGGCGCCGGCGCGGGCGCGGGCATCACAGCCCCGCTGGTGGACGTGGCGTTCGCCAACCGCAGCGCCGTGCTCGCCCTGCGCGGCGCCTTCGACCTCGCCAAGCCCACCAAGGTCATCGTGCACGGCTTCGGCTCCTCGTGCGCGCACGTCTGGGTCTACGAGATGCGCTCCGCGCTCATGGCGGTGGTAAGCACGCGCTCTCTCTCTTGAACCTCTTTCTCTTGAGCTTCTTCGTCTGCTCGGCCCCTCCTTTCCCTCTTTGCTTCCCTCTTCCTCCTTCTCCTCGCTCATCCTACTTCCCTACCCTTTCTATCTTCCTACTCCTCCTCCCTTTACTTCCTGCTACTCCTCCCCTTTTCTATCTTCCCTCTTGTCCCCTTTTCTCCCTCTCCACCTCTCCTACTTCTGTCTCTTGTCATGCATGTCCAAGCTGTTAATGCTCGTTTAAGACGTAAACAAAATTGAGCGTGTCACATTAAAGAAACGGCTGATGTAATAATAGCTTAAAGACTTCAGATTATTGAACTACCTTTTATTACCATTGTTGGGGTAGATTGAAACAGAGTATTTGGTAATATTAAAATAGATATTAATATCTTTACAAAAATTGTGCGTGATCTGGGCTATCCGGATGAAGCCGCGTCACCTGGACAGCCCAGATCACGCACCTGACTCTGGCCGCGGAAGCCTACGTTTTCATTTACAAAAATCGTGTGGAAACGCTTTCTACTGAAAGCAATTGTTCTATAAAAGTTACGAAGCTACTAAGGCGATGTCAATAATAAGAAGAAATACTCCCACATCTTCAAATTATAAAGAATTTTTGAACTATTCCATTAGCCACTCTTCAGATCTTTATAACTTTATTGAATTGTAAATTATCACATGTCTTGTGAGCCATCATGACAGCAATTGGGTCTCTGGAGCATTCCAAAAAAGACAGGAATTTTGGACGTCTAACTTTGGAGAATAGTAATGTTCTGACATATCACTCGGTAACTCCCAGTAGATTCATATCTGAAGATTAAGCGACACTAGAACCCCTTAAATAAATGTTACCATCAAATATCCCAGCTCTCTTCTTTTCTTCTCTCCTCCCTTTTTTCTCCCTCCTCCTATCATTATTAAATGGATTAAGAATAATTTTCTCCTTATTTTTTTAAATTTGTCAGCTGATGTTCAGAGTTGTGTTAAAAAGTATTTTATAATATTGATATTGTGATGAGTTTTCGTTCACATTTACAATGAAATAATTATGAGTTTGCATTGCCAACAATAATGTTTATTACAAAAGCCGCTTTCAATGACTTAGCCATCATAAGCTTTCTGCTGTATCGAAGCCACAAAACGATATCCTCATATTTTGGAAGCCTTGAATACTATTTGCATAAATAATGTTTTACCCTACATTACATCGCATTTTTTGTTAGTGCCTACTTGGATTTCCCATGCTTAAAAATGTTAATTTCGTTTCTCGGAAGTACTTGTTATTCGTAGACGAGATAACTCGTCTTCACAAAAATATATTCACAAACATTTGCTTGCAATATTTGCCAACAAGCAAAAAGGAATATACACAAACAAATGAGACCACACTAAATATTTGCCACAAAGAGGTTTGCTTTTCCCTCATTTGTCCTTCATTTTCCCGAAATATTATGATAATTCCATATTTATTGCGAAAATTGTTTTAAATACATATCTTTGTCAATTTGTCGATGTTTGTGACAAAAGTCGAATGTCAGTGTGACAGATCTTATGAATAAAGAGGAAGAAAAACTATTGAACTCCGCTTGGAAAACATCGTACATGCTAATACTCGGTATTCAGAACGTATTATCACAATATACTGATTTGTCTATGTGTAGGTCCAGTAAACACCCACTTTTTTCGGAGGCGAAAGATGCCATAGCAATCTCCCTTCTTTAAAACAGATTTAGAATCGAATACCGAAGCACTTTTCCGCATGTAAGAGCAGGAGGCAGATCTCTCACTCGTAAGAAAGAGAATTCGCCCGAAATGAATCCGTCCGAGACGCCCGTTTTAATGGGCGTGGAGCCAGAGAGAGAAGTGGTACTCTCTCCTCACGCGACCAAGAGGTTTCTACTTTTTCCAACCTGTTCGGGAGAAACGAATGTTGTCACCCATGCCTGCAATATAGTCGGATGATAATTTCGAGAGCAGTATTAGCAGATCGTTATCTCTCGTAATTTGAAACTCCCTTCACTTTTCGTGCAAACTACGGCTGCTTTAACTGTATTGTATTTACAACCATGGGAAATGAAGATACTTCATTTATAACATTATTCTTATTACACGCACTCCAGATGTGAATACAGATATAGCGCCCAACCTGAGAGATTACAAAAGAAGAACACAGTTTATGTTTTTCATCAATTTGGCATAAGAGCGTCCTTTTAATCATACATGTGTCTCATCTAAACAGGAAACGTATTAGTGAGTAATTGGAATAATTAATCCCCATTCTTCGTTAAATGTATAGTAATTTGCTCAAAAGGTCATGAGAAACAAACGGTTGCTTTCGCTAAAGGTAACCTTTTCAATGCCTCCCATTTCAACTACCAGTCACAGTAATAGACGGTCACACACTAGTAATATTTACAGACGTTCCCACTAAACACCAATACATTGAAATCTTGGAAGACTATTGGGGTGTAAAACGGACGTCATGATAATCTCGGAATGAAGTAAATAATTAATTATAGACGAACACTAATTAGCTTATTGGCAGATTCCTTTCGGCCATGTTCAATATCATATGAAGGTTTTCGGAAAGGCTAGCGGTGAGTTCGGTACATGTAGTGCAATCAACGATCTGACTGTGTAGTATTTTTCCTTTCACTGTATGTAGAGCAAAGCTGACCATAGTCTACAAACACGAGCTTCCATTACAAACATTGGACTAAATAAATTTCAAAATGCGTTCTCACACAGTTGAAGTGTTTTGTGAGAAGTATAGTAAAAACGAATTTTTTGTTCTGCTCTTATTTGAAGTTTTTTAACGATTTAAAAAACTATTTGATTGTGATTTTAAGTCCGACAAAATGTTTTGAAAATAAATCTCGGATAATAGTCGGACCCCAAGAAAATTCAGTGACTTGACCTCAATAATTGTGGGTCGACGTCATTAAGAGCGTACTGGTTTCTTGTTGACCGTGGAGGCATAAGCTTAAGCTGACCTATTGTCATTATGTTAAGAATTTGCGTGAAACTTTTACTCTGCAAAAGGGGATTAATAAAAAAAACAGATTGAAAAAAACATTTTTGGACGAATGAATTGAAGTAATATAATGTGACAAAATTGTAGGAGAGTGAAAATGTTAAGAATAATGTGACGCAAATAAATTATCGTAGAAAAAATGCATAAAATGTATTAGATGGAATAATGCAATGTTTCATGAAATATCATTTATTATTTACAAAACTGCGCAGAAAGCAGTGAGATTGCAACACAACAATGCAAAATATTTGCGCCATATAACTTTTTACTTCATTACATAAAAGTACCATATTGTGTCTTTATGACTTGATCTCAGAGCAATTACCTGTTGGCAATATCCAAGAATTTCACTCATAGTAAAAAGATGTGGTAATATCTGTTTTCTCTTTGTTGTGCATAGCGGTACGGTCACAGTCTAAAAGATATTCCTTAGTCATTTGCTTTCAAGCATATCAAACTTATCAAGAAAACAAATTTCATAAAAGATAAATAATTTTTAATAGTTTTATCCATGATCTACAGACGAGTATATAATTTCTTTTATATAAGAAATTCGTTCTCAAGGATATTTGTTACAAATGTAATTGAAGACAAATAAAATCAACAAATAAAATATTGCTTTTACCTGGGCGCAGGTAATTTTCTAACAGTATGCAAACAATGTTTCAAAAATGTCTAAAGATATTGAGTTGTTTATTCCAATATAGCAACACATTATCACAAAAACAAAATTAATTTCACTTTTTAGAAAATATATGAGTGTGGAACATGAATATGTAAAAAAGATTGTTCGTGGCTAACATATGTTTTCCTTTTTAATTTTGCTACGACACAGAAACAAGTAAATATTCCCCCGTTAACGCTTTTAAATCCATACAAAGAGAAATTTTATAATCATAAATGTAGATTTTCTGAAGGCGTCAAGCGTAGTTCCTTAGCTTCGTTTCAAGGCACACAGAGGCATCGGTCCGCACTGCCTTCAATCCAAGTACTGAAGGATATCCTATATTCCACAGTGTTAACTTTCACCTGATCAAGGCAGGATGACTTTACATCGACGACTTACAGTGGCGGATGATAAAAAAACGTACCAGTTTTACGGAGTTCTGTGAGTGAAAATCATTGAAATTTTGTGACCTCATATAATCAATAATGAATCCCCAATGAAAACTCATACTCCAAATATTGTCTACATTTAATGGTCCATTCATGTTAATATATTTTTGTTACAGTGAGAGTAATACATTTAAATTATCTTGCGCTTACGGCTCACGTGAGTTCTTAGTGTAACAAATGTCCAATCCGATTGTCTTCAGATTATTAAGAGGTATTTTAACTTATTGACAACTGGCTATGATATCATAGTTTGCCCCAGATAGTGATAATGATATACCAGAGATGTGTATATATCCTAATAAATTGAATGACTCGGAAATTCAAACTACAATTGAAACTATCTATTATGCGTACTTTACCTACAGCTCTTCTTCCCGAAAGTAGAATAAATGTAAGAAACTTCTGTGGCATGTAGAAGGCAAAGTTAATGACTTGCAAAAAAGGATTTCGCAGGAAATGTCATGTGACATTTGCCCCTGTCTGGTAAGCAACTCTTCCTGCTCCAGGTTTAAGAGGTTCACGTGTATCTGCGAAACACTAGTGCAGGATGAGTTGTCTACCAACCAGGGGCCAATGTCAGATGTGAAATAAGTTTCCCCCCCAAACGTGAGTGATAATCTTGAGTGTGAATGCAAAGGTGATCATCTTCTACGTGCCCTAGAAATGTATAACACTTCTCAGTAACCAACTAGTAAATGTGGATGTTCTCGTTGTGGAAAGGTCAAGAAATGCGTGTCTAATGAAATGAATGAGAGTTGGCGTGTGTGCGCAGGAGGAGTGCAACGTGATCTGCGTGGACTGGGAGGGCGGCGCGGCCGTGCCCAACTACGTGCGCGCCGCCGCCAACACGCGCCTGGTGGGCAAGCAGCTGGCCCTGCTGCTGCAGGCTTCGCCGCCCGCGGTCTGCACCCAGCAGCGCGTGCACACATGGCTTCAGCTCGGCGCGCACGTCGCCGGCTTCGCGGGCCGCGAGCTGCGCAACCTCAGCCAGCATCACAGGTGCGTAACACCCCCGCCTTGCCCCGCCCTTGCCCCCGCCTTGCCCTTGCCCTCGCTTGTCCCTGCCCTTCGCCCTTGCCCCCCCTTGCCCGCGCCTTGCCCCCGCCCTTGCCCCCCGCCCGCCCTTGCCCGCACGCCCGCCCTGCCCCCCCTTGCCCCCTGCCCCATTAGCTCCCCGCCCCTTGCCCCCGGCCCTTTGCTCTTGCCCTTGCCCTTGCACCTTGCCCCTTGCACTTGCACCTTGCACTTGCCCCCGCCCTTCGCTCTTTCCCCGCCCTTGTCCGCCTTTTTCTTGCCCTCGCCTTGCCACCCGCCCTTGCCCTGCACTTGCATTGCCCTTGTCCGTGCCGTGCCCTTGGCTTGCCCTTTTTCTTGCCTTTGCCCTTGCTCTTGTGCCCTAGTCCTTGTCCTTGCCTTTGTCCTTGCCCTTGCCCTGCCCTAGTCTTGCCCCTTGTCTTTGCCCTGCCTTTGTCCTTGCCCTTGCTCTTGCACTTGCCATTACCCTTGCTTTGCCCTTGCCCTTGCCACCGTCCTAGCCCTTGCCCTTGCCCTGGCCCCGCCTCTGCCGAGCAGCCGGTTGGTGGGGCGGTCGCCAGCCCAGCACACCCTAGATATTTGGAGGTAGTAATGGCCTTAATGTGATTCAGTGTAATGTAGTGGTAAATGTGTGATTCCCGATGAGCAGGTGTCTCAGAATAAATGTTACGATCTTCAAAGGTATGAAGAGGAGAGAACAAGGTTCTTTAAAAAAAATGATATTTCAAATAACGAAGTTCAGAAGACATTTGCCCCTGATTGGTAGGCAACTTCTCATGCAGCAGTGATTGGCAGATCACGTTTTAACCTTGTAAATGTGTCTGTTTACCTGCCCAATACTAGTGCATGGGGACGTACGAAGGCAACTGGCACATAAATAATTTTGTTTTATAACATTTCCCACCACATGTTTATTGGCAAAAAATTGTCTTCTTCGACTACTCTGCATGACCTAGAAGTTTGTAACATTTACCATGAGACATTCTGTATGAAATACGCCGTGAAGATATGACGGTTAACAACGGTTGTGTTCTTAAACCGCTGTTAAATGTGCTACTTCTGAATATGGAATTAATCCTCTGTTCTTAAATAAATAGATTTTAAGACGAAAAAATAGAAGTTCTCAGATTATGATTCAGGGAAAGAACACACAACGCACATACGCGCATATACAACACATGATTCGAGCACCATCTCGCATAACTTGAAAACTGTGAGTCCTAGGCCCTTAAAACTATGTTTTCGTGACCCCACTAGAAGACGTATTATTAACGTTTCTTAAGTTGTATTCTACAAAATTAAACCTTTTTGAATATTCCATTGATTTGAGAGTTAGCTCTTCTGGGTATCCCAGAAGTAAAGATGATCAGAATTGAGCAGACGTTCAAAATCTATTTAAAGTTATATCAAGGGAAAATAATTAGAAATAATCTTTTAATCTAAATAAATTAGTCCTTCTTACTTTTACAATTCATAAGAGCATTAAAAGAATAAATATATTAGGAATATACATGATGGTTAGGCAGGCGACCTTTCGAATTTGCGCGACGAATCTTTCTGTCTCAATTTGTTATTTTAACATTATTAAAAAATTTTCCTCACACGAAACATTCTTAAGAAAAATTGTTGCAGTAAAAAGGAAGTTTCTCTTGTGCCGTGAAAGAATGTGAGTGCACGACTGTAGGCGCGTTTGAGTTTCGCATGCTTGTAGGTATGTGCAAACGAATGCCTGTTTTAGCATATGTACTAAACATACATGTATTAGTCAATATCAGGGCACCACATATTTATTTCAAAAGTAGATAATAATCTATAAATAAATAATACAAGAAAGGTAATGCAATAACAAACATTATTATAGTTCAGACGACTTCCACGTGGATCGTACTCAAACGGCTCTCAGTAGTCGCTGTGTGATGTGGAACCACACTGGTGGGCTACTGCGTCGTTGTAGGTTACATCGCCGTACGTACACATCGCTAGTGATTGTGCACTTTTCTTGAAGAGTAACGGCTTTATTCCTGCCAATACGACTCTTACACGGCAGTTGTGAGTTCCGGAATCTTTTGAAGAGTTTAACGGTCTAACGGACGTGGCTTCACTTGCAAGGCTATACAATGTTTTCTTTAATTACCTCCTATTCTTCCGAACTTCTGTCAACACATTCGGAAACTTTTTGTTCTAAACTAACGTGTCTTTTCGTTCCAAGTATCAACAATACGCTAGTAATGGATTAAGTTTTTTAAAAATATTTTTTACTAATGAAATAGTTTTGCAAATATATTTTTTGTTGCATCTTAGATCTCATGCGAATATTATCGTTATTAATGATGACGAAAATGTACTCGTATATAAATTGACGCAACCGAGTTTAGCATTTCACAATTTGTCAGCTTTGGGTGATTTATATCAGTGACTAATTTATATCATTCGTGGGAAAGCATAAGAAGGAATGAAATCAAAAAAGATGGGAAAAATCAGAGACACATCTCCAGTGACTGCTCTCTTCTTCCTGCATCACGCTGTGAAATGCATGTGTGTTGGACTAGAGGTTGGAATGACGGGATATTGCGTTATGAAGGCATTAAAACGTTTGCATGAACAGCATGATATATGTAATGTTCTCTTCTTCCTGTTGCATATTCCCAAGGTGACCTTTGTACTTGTCTCTGAATGTTTACAGATACTGAGGATAACAGAATACTGTAGCTCTTTGCTCATGCATCGTTATGTGATCATTCACATCGTTGTATAATGCCTGTTGCACATGGTAATATTTTATGCATTTCCTTCTTTTTATAAAATGTTTCATTCAAACTTAAATTTTATAGAACGTAGCTTGCACACTGTAAAATTTAGTTTTATTTTTTAATATACAATTTTCATCAAAAAATACGCCAATTGTCATTCACTAAAGTCCAAGATACATGGGCTGCAGATGAGATACCCGTGACGTTCATATGACAACTCACTGCGCCTTTTAAAAAAACTTTCTGAAACTAACGTACATCGTTGAAAACTACAACGAAATCGGTTGGTTCTAGGTGGTCGGAGGAAACAGAAATAACACCACTTGATAAATGTATGGAGCATTCCCACTTCTTCACATAAAAGTAGCGGAAATGCGCGGTGTATACAATATTTTCATTCATAGTGTCACTAGTTATTACTCCAAATATTTTCATATTTTTGTGAAAAAAGGAAGAATATCATTTAAAGATCTAAAATTTTGGGATGAATTGCAATGAGAAATAAATCTCTTGCTGTAATATTGAAGATGTATGACAGATTTGAAAAATAAAATTGAACTTTGTAATTTTAAAAATTTCATAGGTTTTAATGAAAATGTAACTATTTAATTTTATACATGCCACCTATACATTCTATCAAAGAAAATCTATCAAATACAAAAAAATACATTGCAGCCATTTTTTCGAAATAAAATTGAAAATATCACGGCGGCTTCTAGTAAAGTCTCCCCAAATTAAAAATCTTTATTGTATTCAGAACGTCACAACTATACTTGCTACATACACATTTATCAGCTCAAAAGGTTCTAATAAGACATGCGTGAATAATTTCTAACACCCCTCCATCCAAATCGAATACAAACTTGCGAGTATCTCCTCGCCACCTGCACCAATCTTAACCATCTTTGGAACAGCGCTAATGGAACTTATTCCCAACGTGTCTGCGACGTTACTACCCAAAAGCACATTACGTGCATTTTATTTCCGAAAATTTGAGATCATATTGTTGAGGTGATTCCAATAGTTTTCCTCCATGTTCCACAGTATAGTGAGTAATAATAATAACACATCGATTATACTACAATATACATGTCAAGCGAGTCCAAAGTAGTATTAATTGCAAAAATTAATTGAAAAATTTTGCCCAATACAATTTAATACACAATCCCCATCATCATAATACCATATCCCCAATAGACCAAACAATCTTACGATAAATTGTTCCCAGACAACCTGTTCTACAAAACATGGATTTAGGTTTCGGAAAACTATTTCGATAAAAAAAATTGAATGTGAAACAGCAGTGGCGCACCCAAGGGGAGAGGTATCTAACGAGGCTTCAGCTTACTTCCCACAAAAGAATCCGATGACACATGTTCACAAATATAGTTTCAACTAACTTTCTACAGAAACGAAAGGCATCGATAGAATTAGATAGAATACGTTACAAATAATTACAAGACGAGAAATAAAAATAAATATTAAATTCAGCATAAGTGAAAAACTATTTATAAAATATCTTCAAGTCGGCTGACCACTACACCCGTGCCCGCCGCCCCCTCCCCCCGCTGGTCGTGCCACCGTGCAAGAGGCGCGTGCCCGCCGGGTGTCGTTGGCTGAGCGAGGTGTTGCGCGCAGGGCTCGACCCCGCGGGCCCGCTGTTCGAGGGCCAGGACCCGCGCGCGCGCCTCGACGAGTCCGACGCCGACTTCGTGGACGTCATCCACTCCAACGGCGAGAACCTCATCCTGGGCGGCCTGGGCTCCTGGCAGCCCATGGGCCACGTCGACTTCTACCCCAACGGCGGGCGCATGCAGAAGGGCTGCAGCAACCTCTTCGTGGGCGCCGTCTCCGACATCCTCTGGTGTAAGTACGCCTGCTCCGGCCTCCTCAATTGCTATTTTTAGATGCATAAAATGCGTTAAACGCAAGTAACTTTTTACTTTCCTGTATGTGATTCTCAGAATAAATGTTACAAACTTCTATGGCATTTAGAGGATTCGAATAACTTTTTGCCGATGAACATAAAGCCGAAAGTTTCATATAACTGAGTTACGCATACGAGATTTTCCTGTGACTTGTAGGCTACACCTTATGCTCACATGTTCGGCACGTCACGTTCTAGAGCAGTCAAGGTTTCTTGTACCTGCCGAACATCTAGGTATACGAGGTTGCCTACCAATCAGGGGCACATCGCCATGTTTATAAAAATTAGTTAATATAACTCTATTAAATGAGATTCCCCACTAACATTCAATGACTCTTTGTAATAATTTCCCACCTCTCGTATGGCCTAGAAGTTTGTCAGATTAATTCTGAGACTCTATGCACAGAAAGCTATATAATGTTGCATAAAATGAATTTCGAGACGGAAATATTGAGGCATCCTAAAACTGAAAATGTGTCTATTTTACAAAACAACTTTCCTTCCTATCTTTAGTCTGTCGACAACACTAGCGCATAAACTGCTCGTAGAATATTCACTAAAATGTATGTTCTATGTCTCTGCCGATCTTGAGACCTTGCAAATTTGAAAATGATCTAATTTTTGCGAGAGCTTCAAAGGAATTCTGTAAGTCAAATTCTAAATTTTCTTTCAAATTGATCTTTTTTTACAATAAAACCTTTAGAAGTTCATAAAAGAAGTTCAGTGTTTTCATTGTTAAGATAAATACTAGTAAATAACGCTCTAATCACAACTTGAATTTCAAGTTGTTCTATTTTTGCATGAACGATTTGGAATTGTCAAATATGCATTTTTATTTTTTCAGTTATCCTCATTTCAAAATGTTAAAAATGAGAGATACGATAACAAATACTCTACACAATTTATCATCAATTTCAATCTCTACACAATATATCATTTTCCAAGTACACATTTACTGACAATAACAGGGATGTATCGAAAAACGGAAGAACTAATATGCAAAACATTTTAATTATTGTCCAATACACGCCCGATTCCTTTACTACACTTTCGAGGTCATTCCGTCCTTTTCAAAAAAATGACTTTCACGGTCGTGAAGAGCGGAAAGCGTACTAGAAAAGGCATACAACAAAAGTGGTACACTTGAATGGATGCTGCAGACAATGAAATATTCCACTTCAATACAAAGTTCCGCATGTTTTTATATACGTTTTCATGAGTTGTATGAGAACAATTTATTTTTTTCTTGTTCCGCCTACATACCGCAATTACGACACAACTCGTCCTCCCGTTTTCACAAATTCCAGATCGGCCTATTGCGACTACTCCAGCGCCACCGGTTTCTCCGGTTCCTGTAGTCCACTGACTCTGTTACGATTAAATCCATTAGGGTGATTACTAATGTCCTTGGCACTATTACATATCTTGAGATACATTGCAGTTACTACTCAAAAAAACTTACATTCGAGAATACTCTCTGTAAGATAATCTTCGAGCTTATTTTTAAATGTGCGTATTGATTTTTGTCCACCACAAATTCAGTAAGTCGAATCTAATACGCGTTTCCATCAATATAAACTTTTGTATGCTGTTCAGTAGGTGAACGGGATGAGGGACAGTTGCATCAAGGTGCCCATACGGAGACAAGGTTGTGTATTTCAAATACATGAAATCATGCATTCAGTTGTTTTCGGAATGGATGCCCATTCCAGACCTTCATTTCATCACCTTCATTATTTCCATAACCAGTACCTAGAGCGCTATAGATAAATTTTGCACAGAGGAATTGCCTTCCTAAACCCCAGGAAGATACAGCAATCTAGATGGCGGTGAGATTAATGTAGATTTTTTAATTATGCGTTTTCTTAGGTAAAAATGTATTTTTATAATAATAATGAGTAATAATAATAATGATAAAAATAATAATAATAAGAAGAAGAGAAGAAGAATAAGAAGACAGAAGAGGAAGAAGAAGTAAACAACCGTCCATTTTCGACCTTTCTTACTGTTGAACTATAAAATAACGTAGCCATTTCCTTATCTTTTGTTGGCGAAAGAGCAGTCTCCTTTCCTGAAACTAGCACACGTTTCGAGAGAATGGACGTGGTCACGACCCGCGCATGAATGACGTAGCGTTCGGCAGTATCAATGGCGGAGGGTCCACTCAGGCGTAATGGGACAATGGCCGCTGTTGGCTCGCGTGCGCCGCAAGGAGAGCGATTTGTAATTGGCGGCGGCGTGGGCCGCCACTTGCCAGCTGCCGCCACTTGCCGCGCGCCCTTGCGCACGGTCACTGCACGCAGTGGGAAGTCGCTCTTCGAGACGACGCACCGTAAAGAGGTAAACGGTTTGATTGCGCCGACGGGATGAAGGACCCGAATACCCTTTCGTGCCGAGGGGAGCAAAGTAATGACGCCTGTTGTTGAAGCGAAAATCTGGGTGAACTGAACGTCTAAAACTCGCGAAAAGGTCACGATCTGGCATTTTCCCAAACGTCAGTAACAGGTATTTTGCAAAATCCATGAACTCGTTTAGTGTCGAAACGTCCACGATGAATTTTTCTCTCGAAACGCTGTTCCTGACGTACTGTAAAAACACTTCTTGCACATTTAATTGACTTATCCATTTCATTTATAATTTTTATGAATTTGATTAGGTACTTAAAAAATATAAAAATGTGTTGCAATGAAATACCTTTAATATTGAGGCAACTAATGATATAGGTATAGAGAAAAGCAAGAATTTTACATTACTTCTGTGTGTAGTCAGACTGTATTATGAGTTCAAGATACTGCGACTATGAACTCTTAGTAACTGTATCATGGATGTTTGAGTACTAATATTGAAGGTAGAAGTTTCGAGGAGTTAAGGAATGGAAAATTCTGCCTGTTCTTACCTAACGGACTACTTTGTTAATTTTATATATTTATTTTCAGTGTTGCTGTTGTGTTTGCTTTTTTTTAATTTATTCAAACGTTTATGCCATCAACTCGATAAACAACCCAATGAATGGCAACAGAGGATGTATTTCTGTTATCACATTTGTTAGTTTATTATCTAAGTTCATAATGATAAGTGAACTCTCGGAGAGGGTGAGTCTTCTTACGCTTAATAATAGTATATCCCGATTAAGTTAATTTTTAATTTTGAGGAAATGCGAAATTAATTTTGGGAAAAGGCGAAAACAAATTGTGTGTAAATCTTACTGGGTTTTATTGTTTTCTGTCTCTCATTGTATGTTTGATAAATGTAATTTCATGAATTGAAGTTTATTGAGAGGTTTTTCTACGTCCTTAAAGTCTAAGCTAAATAATATATCCAATCAAGTGCATTTCGTAATTTGCGAATCATTCTGATGCAAGTTTCACGTATTTTCATGGATGTTTGAGTGTTATTTTGTCCTTATATGTTTCCTTTGCCGTAACCCCAATATTAGACATCACAGTGGTATGAAGTCGTAGGCTTCACCAAGTATGAAGTCGTGGGTTTCCGCGGCCAGAGTCATGTGGGTGATCTGGGCTGTCCGGGTGAAGCCGCGTCGAAGGCCTGTGTTGCCGACGTTTGGACCATCCTGCCGTGGCGCTCATGGAGCATACCAGCCCTGAGGAAGACCACGACAGGATGGTCGAAACATCGGCAACACAGCCTTCGACGCGGCGTCACCCGGACAGCCCAGATCACCCGTATGACCAAGTAGTTCAAAATCCAACTTTAAAAAAAATGTTGTGCGCAGCGGCGTCGGACATCGAAGGCCGCAGCCTGTGCAACCACCGCCGCGCCTACAAGTTCTTCACGGACTCCGTGTCCCCGCGCTGCCACTTCCCCGCCTTCCCGTGCGCCAGCTACGACGACTTCCTGGCCGGCACCTGCTTCCCGTGCTCCGGGGCGCGCCGCTGCGGCAACATGGGCTACTACGCCGACCGCTCCTCCGGCCGCGGCGCGCTCTTCCTGGTGACGCGCGACGAAGAGCCCTTCTGCGGTGAGCCCTCTCGCCACTTCTCACGCACCACATCACATCTTTGGGAATAAAACTGTTGGAATTCAATTTAGGCTATGTGCACTCAATTGATCAACACGCCCGAACAATGCAATAGCTCTTTTTTCACCAAATAAACTAAACCATACTTACACGGTAATGAGTAGGCATTTGTTACCATTATAATATTATCCTCGCACGTTTTCTTGAGCCCTCATTCAGCTAGATGCAACAGGAGTGGTGTGATTGGTTATTTCGTCAAGAGAACTTATGTATCAAATCTGTAGCTCGTTTTACGATACAAAATAATTTCTATTACACGGGATCGAACATTTCTGGTAATCAGATTTTGTCCACAACGTTCGTTGCGATAATTTATTCTTAATGCAACTAATATTTGTAAAGGAGTGGGGGTAGGTGTTCCGAGGCTCAAGAAAACGTGCGCGTACAATGCAACAGTATTTATGCTGATACTTACTCTGTTTTTCACCAGAGGGCAGCCTAAAGAAAGCAATCCAATTTACAATTCATCATTTAATTCATGTGACCACATCTTTGCTGTTTAGTAATTTGGCAAGGTTGCCTCAATCACTGTTTTAATGATTAATAGATTCTTATTTTTTTAATTCATAAATTATGTTGTAATAAATAAAGGGTATTACAAAGATGTTCTTTATTATTGATACTGGAAATAGAAAAGAAAGATCTGTAATGTGGTAAATTAAATAGATGAGAAACCTCTCATTCTTCATTGGGTAAAACGTAACTTGTGTTTGAATTACTAACATATTTAATCATTTTATCTAATCAGCTGTGATGTATCAAATTGGGAAGTTTTTGATAATTGGTTTTCATACATAATTCTACAGAATAAAAAACATTTCTCAGTTTCATACAGTGGAAAAATATTTTGTTTGTATTATTAAATTTATTTTCGAGACAAGTCGAATGTAAGTACATCACATTAATGGCGCTTAAAAATCGTACACGTGAAAAGAGAGTGATCCAGTCACTTTTTTTCGTCCTCGGTGTAATAAATTAAATACCAGCGCATAATGAACGACTTTCTTCCTGCGCCGCCTCATTTAAGAGAGGAGGGCGCTAACGAGACGTTGCGTGTGCTGCAGCGCACCAATACAGCGTGCGGCTGGAGAGCGCGGCGGGGGAGGCCGGCGCTCCGTCCAGCTACGGCAGCCTGCACATCACGCTGGCGGGCGACGCGCCGGGGCTCAACGAGACTTTCCCGCTCACGCAGTGAGTGCCCGCACACGCACACGCCCCCTACCCCCTCCCACCAAGGCCCCACACACCAATGTCAAGGAGGTCCAACGCGCAACAAAAATTGAACGTTGCGCCGTCCGCCATGATGATGGCAAAAGCACCTGAGCTGAGCGTACAGATACGGCGTTTCGCAAATAAAAGCATGAATAAACATTCAGTTAGATGCATCAATAAAAAATATTCGGAATAAAACGTATTTTTTTCTCTTCGGATCAATGACATTCCTTCACAAAGTTTAGAGACACATTTTCTTGTTTCATACAGAACATTTTATGGCGAATCTCAACTGCAAAACTGCTTGTTATAAACAAATTATGTTGGGTTTTGTTTATACAAACGTTTACTGGCACATGAACAACCTTTCATAATGAAGTATGATGAACATGAAGACAATCTTTGTGTTTACAAATTTTCCTAAAACACATCAACTTGATTATAGACAAGATTTAGAAGGAAAATTGGACACTAATAAGTTTCAATTAACCTATTAGTATAACACTTCAGAACAAAATTGAAGAAATGAAGTCTTGAATATGAAAAGTAAATGATTACAAACATTCTAACCAATAATATTTAATAATTATAGAGAACTTTTTCTTTTGAAAGGATTTAGGGAAATTTGACAGGGATGTAATAAAACTGACTTTTTTGAGAAATAGAATTTTATTTATTGGTTCATGAAGGTGATTGACTTTTGTGCAATGCCTGTTTTAATTTTTTATGTTAATGACTATTGGTGGAAATTCTGCTAAGTGGTAAAGCTTGATTTTATAATCATACAACTTACGAATTTAGATTCGTACAACGAAAGCGCTGCACGCAAACTGACCATATGTTTTCAAGTCTAAAAACTTTATTATTAAATAAACCGCCTGCGTAATAACGCAACATAGGAGGCATTCGGCTATTCACTTCACACACTTGCCACAACATGGCGGACCGCGCAGTGTTCAATTTGCAGCGCTCCGAAAGGCAGGAGGGTAGGTCTAGTACTAAATTCCAAAGTCTTTGCCTCCCACTGCACTTCGGGCATCGCACGGCGGGAGCGGACGGGGGACTCTGCGATACAACTTAACAATCGATACCAACACAAGATGCTTTGAATGGAGGCTTTTTGCACAGCAATATTGACGTACCTTAGCGTAGCACTTTTGAGCCTCTGTGTTTCGGCCAATTCGATCTCGAAATCGAAATGGTAGTGGTGCCCGCTAATCCGCCGGATTTACTAGGCGACTTATATCGCATGCTGATCGATGACTGGGTCATTCTATTTCGAATTTATTGCCAACTGCCGCTACAGTGTGTACTGCTAACTAACATTAATCTTTATTCCTATGATGCAACGTATTGCAACCGTATATACAACATTAGTTATATTTATTTAATAATATAATGTTTATACTATATATGCTATAGATGAGCAGCTCTAGTCCAACAAATGCTCGGTATCGAGATTTCTGTCGATTGCTGTACGTTACGCTGTGCATAAAGTTCCTATTCTTTCAACATTGATTGGTATCGATGTACGTTAAAAAGTAATGGGAGAAGAAAAGATGTTAGTTTTGATCAAATAGTTGCACTTTACACTTGTTATTCACATGAAAACATTACAAACATATTTCTAAGATTTGTTTTATCATAGTGAACCCAACTGCAATGGTACGCAGAAGATAATTTGCACATGTATGGTGTACAAAATGGTCCTGCCAACGGTTCATGTGCGTTCTAGCTTCTAAGTCATGTTAGGCAAGTTTTTTGGGGAATACCGATGAGGAGGGAAAATTTTGTAAACTTGTTTGTAATGTTCTAATGTAAATAACATTTTTAAATATACAGCTACTTGTATACTTATGTTCTCCGTCGCCAATATGGATTTCTTCAATATTCGTGCGGTAAACGCCGATTTTATTCACCGTGATAGTTACGTTTTGCATATCACTGATATTTAATCATATCTCAAGGGATGTTTACTAAATTTAATTTTGTCATAATGCACATTCATTTTTACTACACATTTTGCACACCCTTAATTCAATTAAATACAATACAATAAATTAATCACAATGCAATAAATGTTAATACGAAGGGAAATTATTATTTAAGTAATTTAACTTTCTCGACACCGATACTGCCGTTTTAGTTAAGTCACCATAACGCTACCAATACTGGGAAATTCAAAAACAAAAGTATGAAGTGAAGTTATCGAAAGTATCGCTCGTTTCGTAATTCGGAGTAGAGGGAACGAATTCAAAGCCTCACAATCAAGTACATAGGGAGAAGGCTGAAGTTGCATCCAGATAATGCTTCTTTTTGACATAAAATTGAACGTGCGAAGTTGAAAGAAACACTGTTCTGCTGTTGAAAAGCAATGTTATGCCTGTCCACACCGTGTCTTATTGCCATTCAACTGAGGTGATTAACGCTTAAGATTTGTACTTCCTGTACTCGCAGTCAGACGCAAAAACCATAGTAGAAAAGCATTTATAAGAAGGAACATTTTGAGGAGTCTAAGCACACGGGAATAACAATTTACCTTGTAAATCTATATTAGATTCCCTATTATTATGTATTGTATTACATAATATACCCTATCATTGTTTTGAATGGTGCACAACGCTTGCTCTTTGGAAAAAACGCACGGTCGAGGCGCACGAAATTCCCACATCCTGCAAGACACCATACGCCTTTGCGAGCGTCCTTTCTTTCCGTAAAAAGGCCCATCCGCTACGTTCGCTATTACATATGATAGACGCGCGCGCAAAGTTGAAGGAAAGATGCATCGTGTGGATGCAGCTTCATGAGGATAATGCCCCTCCCAAAGTAAACATTAGACGTGTTAAGTACATTTCATTAAACTCATTTTATAAAAAATTGGATCTGTAACTTGGAGCGACCTCTCTGATAATATCTCTTAGAGTCGCCGCACGGTTATGTCGTTTGGAATGTGGGAATCCGAAATGAACTATTTTTAGTCCAAGCGGTAAGTAAGTAAATGTAGTACTTGTGCTGAGTTGTTGGCGTGTCGCGCAGGAAGGAGGACGAGCAGCTGAAGCCGGGCCAGTCGCTGACGCGGCTGCTGGTGCCGCACCCGGCGCTCGCCGCGCCCACCACCGCCACCCTCGTCTACACGGCCTACGCCGGCTGGTGGTCGTCCGGCCTGCCCGCCTGGCCCGTGCGCAAGCTCGCCATCGTCGACAGCTTCGGCAAGAGGTCAGCCCCTCTCTCTCTCTCTTTCTCTCTTTCTTTCTCTCTC